GAGAGATAGAGTTGGCGGACACAGGTTCTATAGGAGGAAGGCCTGGTATACTGGTGAACTAATATCATTGCATAAGATATATGATATGCTAGTAGTGTTATATGTTTGATGCGAGTAGTGTCTGTAATGTTTTACCTTACTGAGTGTGTTTGTGTGTGTGTGTGTGTGTGTGTGTATGTGTATGTATGTATGTATGTATGTATGTGTATGTATGCATGTATGTATATGCATGTATATGTGTATGTATGTATATGCATGTATATATGTGTATGTATGTATGTATATATATATATATATATCAATATATGTCTACACACCTACATACGCACATGTATACATGTATATATTCCTTTATCTATCTATTTATTGATTTGTACATGTAGATGTATGTGTGTGTCTATGTACACACACACACACATATATTTCTTTGTGGATTTACTTTTTCATTCCAGTAACGGGATGAGGGGATCTTTGTCTCAAAGTATTAAATATCTCTTGCAAAAAAACAACAACACTGATTTGTGTAGATGTAACATTAATCTGATTGAAGTATAGTTTAATCATAAGTGTATCTTTAAACTTTCTCTCAGATTTAATTACATTTTAAATTCTGTGTTGACAATGACGCAATGCATTAAACATTTTCATACATGACTAATAGATATCGGAACTAATATGATGAATAGATACAGCATTATGAATATATATATATATGATATATATATATATGTATGTATGTATATATGTATTTATATATATATATATATATATATATATATATATATATATATATATATGTACACGTACATATATGTATGTATGTATATATGTATGTATATATATATATATATATATATATATATATATATATATATATATATATATATGTACACGTACATATATGTAAATATATGTATATATTTATATACAGTACACACACACACACACACATATATATATGCATATATATACACATATATATATGCATACACATAGATATATGTGTACACATGTATATGTATTTATATATATAAATGCATATAAATACAACACCACATACTGATTTTGGTTGCCCATTGAAACCATCATATGATACCAGAGTAAATTCCTACAAAATATATAAATTGTTTCTGGCCGTTGCCTTGAAATATATTTCGTTCAAATCACAGAAAAAGAGAGCGAAACAATGAGAATGGCAAGCGAAAATGAACAAAAATGGAAGAATTAATTTGACGAAAATTAATTATGGACCTACCTTTATAAGAAATTATAAGAAGTGAATATAGCCGAAATGAAGGAAGCAAAAATAGAGAAAGAATAAATGTGTAGGGAGATGGAAAATTAGGAAAAAATCGAAGGCTGAAATAAAAGAGCTAGCGACTAAAAGGAGGGACTAAATGCAAAAACAGTACATCAAATTGAATAAACCAAATTCAATAGACGAGGATTCAAAACGAGTGAGTAAACTAAAACTGATAAATGACTGAAATCAGACTGTAAGGCTACTAATGTGAATGGAAACACAACAACAAAAAATAGACGAGTAAGTAACGCAAGTCCAATAAGTGAGTTTTAAAAATTACCCTAAAATATGGACCACATTAAAGTAATCAACACGATGAGTGAGTGGATATATCATCATAGACGAACGAGAGCAGCATGAGTAGTGCAAGCATGAGGGTGCAAGCATTCAATAAAATCATGATTCAAAATACAAACATTTTATTATCCATGGATTCAGGAACTACGTTTAGCTTTCCGTTCTAAGAGAAAAAGCTATAGAAGGAAGGCGGCTTGCACACGTGTTCTCCCAAACACCTGTCGAAGCAGCACTTGTCAAAGCCGCCGCACTTGAAGTCGCTGGAACAACGTACTGGTCCTTGCTCCTGAAGAGTACGTACCGGTGGGCAGGTGTCACGGACATCTGGGCAGTCAAGAGGCTTGGTGCCCACGGGTGCCTCGGGTTCATACTTGTCCTCGCAGCAGTAGACAGCATCCTCTGGAGTTCGGCACCAGCGCCTACAGGTGGCGGGTGGGGCTGTGGCGCTAGGGAAACCAATAGGGCCTACGCCTACGCTCCCTCCGTGGACTGAAACCACCGCCAGAACCAAGCACAGAATGATTCCGAGACCCTGCGAAATAGGACAGAGTTTGAAGTCAATGTACAGGGATATGACACTGGTTCTGTCTACAATTAGACGTATTTAGCTAAGTTAAAGACAGAAACTTTTATGGATGATATTTGGCCTGTTTTCATTTACTGTTGACATTAAGAGATCATGCTACTAATATATGTAGGATAAAAGACCGTCAGATTTACTTTACTACATTAAATGAGACTTAGCTGCCGCTTGGAGTGAAAAAGCACAATAACACAACCATTTGGTAGCTTTCTAATTAATATATACACACACATGAACAAAATATATATAGATCTACCACAATTATACGACAGCCTCTATCGCCTGCCTTAAAGCACCAAGCAAGCACTCACCTTCATATTGAATGCGAGGAGAAGTTAGTGTGGCTTTGGCAGTTGTAAATCTTCCTTATAAACGCGTCCGCCTGGTTTGGCTCCTCCCCTTTCTCCGAACCTCGCGAGGAAACCCCAGCTTCAAGTTTTTCCTAGTGTTACCTGCCACTTGCAACACTTATCGTGATTTGTCTACATTATGTTTAACGTTAACAATTTTGCTTTAAACACTGGTAGGATACATAAGGTTGAATGAGACATAAAGACGTGAAAGAGCGAGTATTGGTGGAGAGAAAGTTTTAGAAAGGTTTCATGAATATGTAGAGCGAAAGGACGTGAAGGAGACTGTAGATAAAGAAATTAGAGGAAAAAAAGTAATTATAGATATACATAAAAACGAAGAGTAAAGAGGAAGAGATGGAGAGAATGAGAAGAAACTAAGGAGAATGAGAGGGAAAGCCAAGAGAAATGTGGAATAACGGAATATAACAACAAGAGGGTGAGTGCACTATATGCAGTTAGATACATATCCCATCTCCCTTATTTACTCACTTCCTCATCTTGGTTTACTCACTTATTAACATTAGTTTATTCATACATTTCATACATTCATACATACTTACTAACCTCGGTTTACTCAGTTATTTATAATTTACTCACTCTTTACCATCTACTTTGCTTCACACTCATTAACACCTCATGATTTACTCACTGACTCACCTGGTTTACTAACTCGTCTTGATTTACTCACTGACAAATTGGTTTGCTCATTTTTTCTTGATTTGCTAATACATGTATCTACTCCTTTATCTTGAAATGCTCACTTACTCATCTTAGTTAATTCACTCATCTTCATATACTGATCAATTATCTTATTTATTATTCATACATCTTATCTTTATTCACACATCTTCATCTAACCATCCGTCTTGGTTTGTTCATCCCTCTGAATTGACTCACTGACTCATCTTGCATACTCATATTCATACACTCACTTCTTCATCTTAGTTTACTTATTCATCTCTGCTCAGTTCTCTTTTTCGTCTCAATGAATCATTTTGATGTATTCAACTTCATATACCCATTTACCCAATTAATTATCTCACCCTGCGTGGTTTGCTCACTCTTAATTGATATTCATATAATTACTTACTCAGATACGCTTACTCAATTTTGATTTTCTGATTTACTTGTTTTGAATTATCAACTCATTATTGCACATGTTGCTTTACTCACTTGTTTTGGTTCACGTACTCGGAAATATTTATTTACACCTTCCTTCCGTTACGTACATTTTTCTTCTTTTTTTTCTCTCTCACTTATCATGTTTTCCTCGCCTTGTCCTCTAATTTTATTCATTTGTCTTGGTTCACTTAGTCGTCTCTATTTACTCACTTAGGTTTACCAATATCACTTATTGTGAATCAGGCGTACACATCATGCATCCCATTATCGTCATTATCCATCAGTTAATGTTCCTCTTCGTTCTCTTTCTTCTCGCTCTCGTCCTCTCATCCTGTTAATTCCCTTACTTCACATACTTTAGCCTGTTGTATCACTTAATTCTTCCATTTTTAATTTATGATTTCCTTATTCATGAGACCCTCCCTACACACAAGCACCTCTATCTCTTAATATATTCATTCTCTCTCTCTCTCTCTAAAATTTTCTCTCCATTTGTTTTCACTTATTTTTTCCATCTCGGCCAACCTTCAAGATCCTGACGGCGTCCAAAATGGTAATGCAATATCGCGCGTAACGTTGGAGGGAGGGAGGGAGGAGGCAAGCACCGGGGAAAATCCTCTCAGACTCTGGGTTTTCCTCGCGAGCTTCGAGGAACGGAGCCGAGCCAGTCCGGACGGCCGGGTATAAAACGAGGATTGCGCGGCTCCAAGTCACACTAACATCCAGCACTTTCGACATGAAGGTGAGTGCTTACCTTACGTTTTGACACACGTGGTGGCGGCTGTGCTATGGTTGTCGTAAATCTTGTATTAATCTGGTGCCTTTTCTCCATATTAATTTACTTTATTCATAATGAATGCTAGGAAATATTTGTGCCTTCAGGATTTTACTTTATTCCAAAGGATTAGTGTTTTTCATTGAAGATAAAGAGATCAACAGTAAATTCAAATACACCAAATATCCATAGGAAAGATTTGTGTTCTTGATTTATTCATCTATTTCTCTATTTCCAATTCTGGTCAAAGTCAATAGCAATCTTGACACAGCTTCCTAATTCACAGGGTATCGGAGTCATTCTGTGCTGCGTCCTGGCGGTGGTTTCAGCCCACGGAGGCAGACCTGGAGGCTTCCCTGGCGGAGTCGCCGGAGGTTTCCCTGGCGGAGTCTCTGGCGGCTTCCCTGGTGGAGTCCCTGGAGGTTTCCCTGGCGGAGTCCCTGGAGGATTTCCTGGCGGACAACCCGGAGGCTTCCCTAGCGTCACAGCCCCACCCGCCACCTGTAGGCGATGGTGCCGAACTCCAGAACAGCAAGCTTACTGCTGCGAAACGGCGTTTGAACCTGAGGCACCCGTCGGCACCAAGCCACTTAACTGCCCACGAGTCCGTGACACCTGCCCACCAGTACGTTTTGGTGGACAGCCACCAGTAACCTGCTCCAGCGACTACAAGTGCGGCGGCCTTGACAAGTGTTGCTTCGACAGGTGTTTGGGAGAACACGTGTGCAAGCCACCTTCCTTCTATAACCAGTTCGGTTGAAAACGAAAATTAAACCTATTTATTCATTCCTGTAATATCCATGACTAATAAATGTTTTGTTTTCAAACCTGATTCTATTGGATTACCCAGTCACTAAGCTTCGTGCTCATCTTAACCGTTTCGGGTTCACTCATTCAATCACTGCTTTTTTTTTTTTTTTTTTCTTTCTTTTTTTTTTTCTTTTTTTACTTTTGGGGTTAGAATTTAGGCTTATTTTTGTTTACTCACTTGATCCCTTTTCGTTATTAGTTCATCTCAGCTAATTAACTCATCTCGGGATACTCGTCTTGTTTTGCTCGCCTATTCTGGTTTATTTACAATCTCATTTTGACATTTATCTATCATAGTTCATTAACTAGGTCACTTTAGTTTACTCTGTACCTCAGAATAAGCGTTGAGATACATGGTTATCTTTCGTCGCCTTCATTTCCCGTTGCCTGTATCACTTTTCAACTTATTATTAGTCTCTCTTTCTGCTTAAACATTTCTCCTGAGAGGAATCACTAATATTCTTCTCACTTCCTGTACTCATACTGTATTATTCTGCATCTCTCTGGTTTCAACATGATATACCTAAATAAGCAATGAGATACATAATGAGGTTTCGTACTTGATTCACTTACAACCACACCTTTCATCGTCTACAAAGATAAATGCCAGGGTAGCGTAGTTTTTTTTTCCCCCCCCGTTGGAAGGTATATCAAAGTGCTATACAAATATTTGATTTTTATCATTCCAGTATATCATCTTACTATTTTGGAAGCCATCTCATTATTTCTATAAGGATATTGCGGTTTATCGATGAATAGGAGTTCATTGGAAGCGAAATTATAAATGCATCAGCAAACTTATTAAATAAACACACAGAAAAAAATGTTGATTTGCTCTCGAATTAAATCGAATGTACGCTAGACTAATATTTTGTCAGATTTTATGCGTTTATTCCTCAGCAAGGTAGACGAATAACTACAAACAGTTGCAAAGCCGTCAAATGTAAAACACTGGCGCAGATCCATACATGTATTACGTAACAAAAATAAACCACACTTTTTGGTGACCAGCTACGCGTAAAAAAAGAAAGAAAGAAAGAAAAAAAAAAAAGAGTTTTTCCTACTGCTTTCAACATTGCCCGTGATTTGGCAACATTATGTTTAACGTTAGCAATATTGCTTTAAACACTGGTAGGATTCATAAGGTTGAAAGAGACAGAAATACGTGAAAGAGTGAGTATTGGTGGAGAGATACTTTTCATGAAAGATTAGAAAGGTTTCATGAATAGGTAGAGTGAAAGGACGTGAAGGAGACTGTAGATAAAAAAAAATAGAGGAAAAAAAGTAATTATAGATATACATAAAAACGAAGAGTAAAGAGGAAGAGATGGAGAGAATGAGAAGAAACTAAGGAGAATGAGAGGGAAAGCGAAGAAAAATATGGAATAACGGAATATAACAAGAGGGTGAGTGCACTATATGCAGTTAGATACATATCCCATCTCTCCTTTTCATTTACTCACTTCCTCATCTTGGTTTACTCACTTATTAACATTGGTTTATTCATACATTTCATACATTCATACATACTTACTAACCTCGGTTTACTCACTTATAATGTACTCACTCTTTACAATCTACTTTGCTTCACACTCATTAACACCTCATGATTTACTCACTGACTCACCTTGGTTTACTAACTCGTCTTGATTTACTCACTGACACTTATAGGTTTGCTATTTTTTCTTGATTTGCTAATGCATCCATCTACTCATTTATCTTGATATACTCACTTACTCATCTTAGTTAATTCACTCATCTTCATATACTGATCATTTATCTTATTTATTATTCATACATCTTATCTTTATTCACACATCTTCATCTAACCATCCGTCTTCGTTAGTTCATCCCTCTGGATTGACTCAATGACTTATCTTGCATATTCATATTTATACACTCACTTCTTCATCGTAGTTTACTTATTCTTCTCTGCTCAGTTCTCTTTTTCGTCTCAGTGAATCATTTTGATGTATTCAACTTCATATACCCATTTACCCAATTAATTATCTCACCCTGCGTGGTTTGCTCACTCTTAATTAATATTCATATAATTACTTACTCAGATACGCTTACTCAATTTTGATTTTCTGATTTGCTTGTTTTGAATTATCAACTCATTATTGCACATGTTGCTTTACTCACTTGTTTTGGTTCACGTACTCGGAAATATTTATTTACACCCTTCCGTTACGTACATTTTTCTTTTTTTCTCTCTCACTTATCTTGTTTTCCTTGTCTTGTTCTCTAGCTTTATTAATTTGCCTTGGTTCACTTAGTCGTCTATGTTTACTCACTTAGGTTTACCAATATCACATCATGCATCCCATTCTTCGTCTTTACCCATTTGTTAATCTCCCTCTTCGTTCTCTTTCTTCTTACTCTCGTCCTC